GGCCTGTCTCACCTACCATAAAGTACAGGAGGGTCTGCTCCGGAGACCGGCCGGGACATCGGCAAGCCCCAAGGTCGGCACAACCGAAGATACGCAAGCGCAGCGTTCGGAGCAAGAAGCACACATCAAGGTGACAAAAGCCACCCAGGCGGGAAGCCGACCTTTGCAGACAAGCCTCAGTCCTCACTCTCCTACGGCTTCACACAGTTCCAGAGTCTTGGGGTCTCTGGCAGAAGTCAGAGGCTAAAATTGTTTTAAGATAAATAAATAAATGAATAAATAAATAAACAAAAGCAATGCGTAGATAAATGAAAAGCGTAACTTTGCAAATAAGGAAATGGCATTTTACAGTTTTCTGAGCCTCCATCCCAGCTGTCTAATCCTGCTGCTTTGGAAGCCAACAGACACCACCTCATAGGCAGAGCTGCCTCGTGGGGTGGGAGGCCGAGGGTGGCGAGGAAAGGCAGAACATGGAGACAGATTAGAGCTGAAAGTCTGTCGATCACTGGCCTCAGGACTGGAAAACTGCTTAAACACCTCCTGTGGTCTGAACAACCCCACCGAAACTCAGGTGGAGAGTTAGCCCCATGGGAAGTGTGGTGTAGGACCTTTAAGAGTAGTTAAGTCCTAAGGGCACTGCCGAGAGTGCGTGAGTGGGTTCATGCTTTCTCAAAAGCAGGTCTGTCGTGAAGACAGTTTGGCTCTGTCGCTCATCACAGAATGCCCTGCACCTCCTTGGGACTCCGTAGAGGCTGCACCAGCGGGAAGGCCTCCCCGAGATGTGGCCTCTGGCCTTGGACTTCCCAACCTCTGGGAAGGCGAGCTGAATAAACTTCTAACCTTTCCAAAATACCTGCTCTGGGCTGGGGATATAGCTCAGCGGCACAGCGCCTGCCGGGCAAGCACAAGGTCCTGAGTTCGATTCCTGCTACAAAAAAGAAAAATACCTGCTCTGTGGTATTCAGCTTTAGCAGCAGAAAACAGACACAACTTACCTAGGCTGCTGCCACACCTGCAGAGTGGTGTAATGATTCCCACCGGGCAGAGGTGCGCTGCTTATGAGGGAAGATGATTGATGTGCCCAGTACATGGGGTGGCTCATGACAACTGTCACTTAAAAAGACCACTGTACTCAACTCCAAGACTTACTGTGTGATGCCCCACTCCTGTAAGCTCAGCCCTCGGGAGGCTGATGCAGGAGGCTAGCCTGGGCTACATAGCAAGTGCAAGGCCAGCCTGAGCCATGTAGCGAAATCCTGTCTTCAAAAGAGACTTGCTATAAAGCTACAACAACGGCTAGGTGTGGTGGCTCATGCCTGTCATCCCAGCACCCCGGGAAAGTGAGGCAGGAGGATCACAAGTCCAAGCCCAGACTGGGCCAGTTAATGAGACCCTGTCTTAAAAATAAAAATTTAAAAAGGGCTGGGGATATAATTCAGCATTAAGGCCCTGGCTTCAAATCCTAGCACTGCAAAAACAAAACAAAACATACAACAGTGAAGACAGTGTGTGAAGGGAGAGAGAAATTGATCAAGGGAACAAAATAAAAGACCCAGGAATAGACTCACAGTCAACTGACTTTTGAGGAAGGAGCCTCCTGTGTGACAAGAAGGGGCGGGTGCGGAGCAGGCGGCTGGGGCTGCAGGGAGGACCCTCTTGCTGCGCTCTCAACTGTTCTCTGAGTAAGGACACCCCCGCCTCAGCAGCCTGGCCCAATGGTTGATATACTAGGCTAGTATATCAACAAGCAGAAAAAAAGTAAAGGAAAAAAAGGAGGGAAGGAAGGAAGAGAAAGAAACAGAAAAAGGGAAAAAACAAGCAGAGCTTACACCTTTCCCAAATGTTGACTCAGAAGCCGTCATTACACCTCAATGTAATCGCTTCTCGGCCTTTCGGCTAAGATCAAGTGTAGACCTCAATGTAAAATGGCAAACTAAAAAGCTCTAAAAAGATAACATGGTACAGAATCTTGATGACCGTGATTTTGACAGTGATTTCTTAAACAAAATACCCACAGCACAGTCTATGAAAAGGGTAAAAAAGATAGGCTTCACTGTTTGCAAATTCAAACTTCTGAGCCGGGCATGGTGGCGCACACCTGTAATCCCAGCACTCTGGAGGCTGAGGCAGGAGGATCGCTGCAAGTTTGAGACCAGCGTGGGCTACAAAGTGAGCTCCAGACTAGCCTGAACTATGTAGCAAGATTCTGTCTTAAAAAGACAAAAAAAAAAAAAATTCAAACTTCTACCCCATGAAAGACACTCTTAGAAGAGTGAGAGGACGGACAGGCGAGTGTGGGGTGGCTCTGTACAGTTGCAGGTTTCCCTAACACGTTTTGAACATAAGTCAGACTCCCTCAGACAGAAACCGGGCTCCGTCACACCTGCAGTTTCCAGGTCTCTGTCTTCTCCCATGTTTCCAAGGTGACTGACCCAGCCACACTCTGGTGACCGCCTCTTAGCGACAGTAAGTCATATTCCTGCCTGACTGGGTGCACAGACCCTATACCTCACATGGACCGTGCAGGCTGCCTCAGTAAGCACAGTCATAGCACAACCAGACCCCGTCCATCCGGCTTGCAATGAGCCACCAATTAAAGTCCACACGTCCATTCATGTTTGGGTAAAGCCCTATACTTCAACAGACTTTGCAATGCCTCTCTGTCCCATGCCTCACCCACTGGTGCAGAATGCATATGCTACATGGCTTCCTTCTTCCTGCTGGCCCTGCAAGGCACGCTGGCCTCTCCATGTGGGGTCTGCAGGGGTGAACTGCTGCTATTACGTCAGGTATTTTTATACTCCTTCCTCTGTGCCTTACTAGACAGAAACATAGGAGATGGGATTCTTTTGCAGTCAGGGCTCTCCCACACGGTGGCTACCCAGATAGGAATAAACTGGATGTAAGTCTGACAAGAGCCATATAGGAGCGCACCAGTAGGAACAGGTATTCCACCAGAAAGATACCTGATCGTGGCCAGATGCTCAGGCACTGGGCTGTCTGCCAGGACAAAGAAGCAGTCGGTGGGAGGAACATTGTAAACATTGGTGACCAAGCCCCCAAGCCACACTAGGGCAGGGCTCATGTTTATAGCCATCCCAAGAGACCTCAAGAGCCAATTAGGAAGAAAAAACTGTAAGAGAAAATATTTGTTAACAACGTGTCTGATTTTTAAAAGCTGTTCCCCAAAATGTATGTTTTTTAAAAACTGTTAAAGTGTAACCATAAGAAAGCCAATGTGCCAGTCATAAAATGGGCAAATTATCTGAACAGATACCACTAACAAAAAAAGACAGGTGGAAAAGAACCATATGAAAAAGATATTTAGTTTCACGTGTCATTACAGAATTGAAAATTAAAGCAATGAGATGCTGCTACACACCCATTAGAATGGCTAAAATCACAAAATGACATCACAAAATGCTGACAGGGAGATGGGACACAGGAACTGTCACTTACTGCTGCTAAGAATGCAGAATGGTGTCACTGGAAGGCAGCAGGGCAGCTTCTTACAAAACTAAACTCGCACTTACCCTGTGATCCATCTATCCTTTTCTTCGGTATTTACCTAACAGAGATGAAAACAGACCGCCACAACAGCTTGCTCATGGGTGTTCATAGTGACTCTATTGGTAATTGGCAAAACTCAGAAGCCATCGAGTTTAATGGTCACCTTCTGTTGTCTGGGTGAACCGGTAAACTGTGGTCCTCCAGACGATGGGATACTATTCAGTGCTAAAAGCAAAGAAGCCATCAAGCCATGAAAAGACATGGAGGAATCTCAATTGCATATTATGAAGTAAAAGAAGCAAGTCAGAAAAGGTTATGTAGTATGTGACCCCAGTGATATGACGTTCTAGAAAAGGAAAACTGGAGACAGGAAAAACGTCAGTGGTTGCTCAGGTTCAAGGGAGAGGAAAGATTAGGGTATCTTAGCAGCTTCAGGGATGAAAATGTAGCAGCCAGACAGCCCTGCTCTGTGAGGCCTCTTGGACTCTTTACCAGACCACCCTGCCCTAGCAAAATCACCCCAAGACTCAAGAGAAGGACAGGAAAGACAACAAGAGAAAGAGGAGCCCAGGAGGTGACAGGCGAGGTTGTCAGACAGACCGGTTCCTGCAGAGGAGGAACTGAAGTCCCGAAAGTTAACAGAAAAGACAAATCTTCAGGCCAAAAAAAAAAAAAAAAAAAAAAATGGGGACAAAAAATAAAAGAGAAGAAAAAGAAACCACAACATGACCAACCAAGAAGCTGAGGAAGACTCATCTATAAAAAAAGAGAAACTAAAAACTAGTGGTGTCCTGCCTCAGCTGGAAGGGAGAAGTAAGCAGCTCAGACCGAGGTTCCTCAGTCTTTGCCATCCTGAGTTTTGCTTCTTGTGACAGCCCAGAGAAATCGTTTAACAGCTGCTTTGTATGTGCAAGTAAATGCAAATCCAGAGTTCTATAAACATATTTTCAAGAGAGAAGAAATTCCACATTATCCCTTAAATAAAAAACAAACAAACCGTGTAGCTCAGTGGAATCACCCGTGCTGGTTATTTAAAAAGTGAAGTCAAGTGCTGGTTATTTTTCTGAACATCCAGAAAGTGGTGGGAACATCCAGAAGTGAGGGAGGGTGGTGTGGAACGTTTGGATGCTAACATTCCCTAAGTGAGTGAGAAGAGAGGCTTAAATCCCAGTGAAAGAAATGATAATGTAGAATCACAACCGTGGATTTACAATGTTGTAAACATTTTAAGTACCTTAGCTTCTCTCCCTATGGTATTTGTTTATAGAATTGTGCCTTACAGGACACCGTGCCTTCGCCTTGGCTTCCCTGGCAGAATCGGATGTATACTGTGACATCTTTGGTCCTGTGGTCCAGGGCCTCCAATGCTTACAGGATGTAGGGTAGGATTGAAAAAAGTAACAAAAAGTTGTGCCTGGCACCCAATCGCGTGCGCCTCACCTGTAGTGTCCATCATTGGAGCTGTCAGGCCGACGTGCAAGAAGATCACCATGCCTTTGGCTAGAGATTTATTACACCCTTTCTTGGAAGAGGAAAAGAGAAAACATAAAAAGAAACAGCTAGTTCAAAGTCCACATTCTTATTTTATGGATGTAAAATGTTCAGGTTGCTACAAGATTACCACAGTTTTCAGCCATGCTCAGACAGTGGTTCTTTGTGTAGGTTTTTCAACAGTTTTGTGCCAGCTTACAAGAAGAAAGGCCAGACACACAGAAGGTTGCTCATTTAGAAGAAAGGAACACGAATGATCTAAACAACTTCCTGAATTTGTTTTTTCCCAGAAAACTTTATCAGTTCAGTAATTGTAATGAATCTACCAAGGTAATGTAATTATGCTTGATTTTGTAAGGTGCACAGCTTTGATGTAGTTTAATGGCAGTTTTTCAATAAAGTTTTGATTATGGACAAAAAAAGAAAAAGTATCAAAGATGGGGAAAACATCATTAAAGGATCTTGTAAGTAATGAGTTCTTATATACGTAGAAATGAGACATACTCTCCTTTAAGTATGAGAAAGGGAAGCCAGGGATATAGCTCAATGGCACAGAGCCTGCCTGGCAGGTGTAAGTTTGTAAGTTTGAGGTTGTAAGTTTGATTCCTGCTATGAGAAAAAAAAAGTATAAGAAAGGGAGAGTATAAGAAAGATTTTTTAATTGGTATATGGTGTGAATTGGTGAAGGGGGCTTAAATTAAAAGAAATTAAAGCCTGGAGCAGGAGCAACTACCAGCTTAGAACTAAGAGTCTTTTGAGGAGATCATTATATATGCCTATTAAAGCAACTATCTGGAGCTTATGAGGGATATGGAATTTTCATTGAATGCCTTCTTCAAGAGCCCAGCATTGTGTATCTTGAGAAGTGAAACACAAGCTATGGTTACACTCGTAATGCACGGATCCCCTGGAAGACCTTGTACTGTGGCCTTGACCTCTGCCGAGACAGTGTGGTTTCGATGTATGTGTTGAGAATATTCGAGGCAAGAGGTCCTCCACATGTTTTATCCTGGAGGTGACATCTCTGAGGCGATGCTCCGACCATTGGCTGTCAGTGCGAAGACAGGCAGTGTGTTGACAAAGAGAGGCCTCCAGTACTGACTGCCTGAAGTTGTCTCGTCTGTCAGAAAGATCCTGGCGAAGGGATGGAAAGCAGCAGCATTCTGATGAGCACCATCATTTTTGTGACAGAGGGAGGGCTGTTCCCAGCTCAGTTAATCCCAAGGGGGTGGTTGGGGTGGGGTGGGAGCCTCCTCTGGCACTGTGGCCTCTGGCGAGGGACTGTGGGCAGGGAGAGCTGCCCACACGTGCAGCTCCAGCTTGTCTGAAAGCTGCCTTGGTGGCCACGCTAGGCTTCCGAAGTTCTGCTTCTAAGACCCCAAGCACGGTGGGCAGCTGAATGTGGCAACCAGTCAGGGTGCCGAAGAGCTCTGTATATAGCCAGCCACTTTCACTTTGGTGGTGTCCAGCACAAGGCTGAGGGGGCAGTTTGCTGTGTCAGAAGTCTTCGAGCCATTTAGGGCCGTAGGAGGTGGTCCACAGAGATGTGTTAGGAGGTGCGAGGGGAGGTTGTCAGCCTCCGCCATGAAGAAGTCACTGAGGCACTAACAGGAGTGCCCGCTGACTGCCAGTTCAGAGCCCTTTGTGGGGACAGGGGAGCCGTTAAGGCAGACTGTTTTATAAGTAGCAGTAATAATGAGACTAAGTAAAATTTGTAAATGACAAATGTGTTGCCCCGAAAACCCAAAGAGGGCTCAGTGCTAAATCTGAACATCCATACTGAGTGTGTCGAACAGGTCCCAGGGACGAGCGTGTCATTAACACAACGTCGTCCTGTGTCTGCATGAAGATGGGCGTTGTGGAGACCTTGTCTGCCAACACTGGGTAGTGTGTCCAGGAAGCTGTTGAGGGAGCCCATGGTGTGCCATGCCCTTTCTGAAAAGAGGAACTGTGGATGACTGGTGTTGAAGGAAAACGTGTACAGATCATATTAGTCCAAGCCATGAAATCAAACTACTTGCTGGTAGTGGCTTGGTGGGATCAGGAATTTTCATAATGTAGGCGCTGGGGACATGAGTGGATGGGACCACAGCATCCAGGATGTAGTGCTGCACTCAGAGACATCATTTCTTTTTCTTTCTTTCTTTCTTTCTTTCTTTCTTTCTTTCTTTCTTTCTTTCTTTCTTTCTTCCTTTCTTTCTTCCTTCCTTCTTTCTATCTTTCTAGGTTTAAAAGCTACAAAGTTAAGACCAGGGGGGCTGGGGATTTAGCTCATCGGCAAAGCGCCTGCCTGGCAAGCGCAAGGTTGTGAGTTCGGTTCCCGGTACCAGAGAAAAACCAAAAAACCAAAAAAAAAAAAAAAAAAAAAAAAAACAAACAAAGTTAAGACCAGGGATAAGCAGTGGGGATAACTGCCTCTTTATTAATTACATCTTATATGATGAGTTTAATCATCAAAGCCTTGTTTTAATTCATACTAGGCCATATCAACTATTTTAACTGAGGATCTGTGAGGCCCATTTATCAAGTCAAGTTGTAAATGCCAAAGACTTCATTTGAATTTCTTACTCACTGTATTAAATTTCTTGCTCATTGCCCAATGTGCAATATTTTAGGGCTATAGATATTATAACTATGAGAGGCTTAGGCCAGGCTATAATTAAAATGAGCCATAACTGTTTTTTCCGTATTTTATATTTAGTTACCTTTTGAGGATTATAGGGAGCAGTATTAAATTAAATTTAGTAGATTCCTCTATAACTGTAGTTTGAGCTCCAATGTTAATTCCACCCATTTTCCATTGTTTTAATAAAACATCCATGTCTGGTAACTTTAAGGCAGAAAGAAATATTTACCTCAAGTCTTTGAGGTCCGAATGCATCTTGAGGACATCAGCAGGACTCTGATGGAGATTGTGGTGGACGGCGTCGTGGCAGAAGTGCATGTGAAAGGAGGAATCACACGTGACAAAAATTCAGAGAGACCCTGGGATCTCAGGAAAACTGCTCATCCCTTCCAAGGGACGCACATCCTGTGGCTCATGACCTCCTACTAGGCCCTTCTCACAAGGACCAGCGCCTCTGAACACGGCCACACTGAGGACCAAGCTCCCAACGCATGGACCTTTGAAGACCACACTTGGATCGCATCCAGATCGGGGCAGCACCACGTGGCGAGTCAGAGCAGGCGCTGGCTCAGGCCTCTCTTCCCGTCTTATAAAGCCACTAATCCCTTCGTGGGGCTGCACCTTCATGACCTCCTCTACTCCTAGTCACCTCCCCCTCCAAATACCACTGCTATAGGAATCGGAGGATGAAGTTTCAACGTGAGTTTTGTGGAGACAAACATTCAGCCACAGCCCCAATGATCCTGTCCCATGGGACTTGGGGGAAAGTCCCATTCTTTCCTTCAAAGGAGCCTGTATCAGTCAGGGTTTACTAGACAAACAGATCTAACACAAGATATACCAATGTACAAGAAATTACAAGTTTGGCTTACTATGGTCAGCCACAGAGTTGGATGAGGAAGCGTGCAGAGGGTGTGTGCATGCTGGAGATTGAAGAGCCCAGCCCCAGGCCTGCAGCTCACTGCAGTGTCTGTGCAAGTCTGTATCAGAAGGCTGATGGGTCTATGATGGAATGCTGAAGAATCTACGATGAAGACTGGAGAATCTACACCAGAAGGCGGAAGAGTTCCAGGCGGAAGCTGAACAGTCTGCACCAGAAGCCAGGAGATGACCAAGCTGAAGGCCAAGACTGGAGCTCCTCCGAAGAACCAGCAGCCAGTCCATTCTCAATTCCCTTTTTTTATGCAGCCCACCCCCCCTGGAGGGGGGTGAGGGTGGTCCTCCACACCCACACCGTCTCCTTGCCCTCCTCTTGCACAGGCTCAGGATGAATACAAAGTAAGCACCCTGGCTCCCTGCTGAGTCACATAGTTAACCTTCTAAACTTCTCAAATTGACACAATGAACAACATCCCAGAAGGGTAAGGGCATATCCTTTTCACCCCAAGATGCAGACCTGCTGAGTCACTTAGCCGAACCAGGAGCCTTTTGTAAACTTCGTTGATCACAGCTAGAGTCCAAGCAAGTAGTCAGCGCCAGCTAGAACTCAGGGAGGACTCCCCTTCCAAGTTCTGAACTGGGGCTAAGAACCAGCAGGAAGCCAGGCTGCCCAGGCAGGAGGCAGGGCCAGCAGATGGTGCCATCTTCTCAGGCTGTCCCAAAGGCCACTGCTGGCATCAGTCAGGATACCAAAGAAATCTAGGGGCAAATCATGGCAGTTTGAGGCCAAAACGACCTGTCACTGTATCAACTGTTTAAAAATATATTACATTCATAGAAACTCTGCAGTCTAACGGTCAACAAATCAGGAGATGACTTCCAGGTTACCAGAAAATCTAGTTTGTTGCTCGTAGTTCCTAAAAAGTGGAGACAAGCTACGAGGACCCTGGGAGGAAGCAGGGAGCTGTGAGCACAGTGACAATGCGGAAACTGGGCAGTGAGGCCTTCCTGGTGATTTCCAGTGAGGCAAGTCACGGTAACACCATGGTTTGTTTGTTTTTAACTTGCAGGCATTAAAATTCAATTGCAAATTCACTTGTGGTATATGGTTCTACAGGTTTGGTAAGTACAGAGATTCCCAATCTAGCTCCAGCTGTATTACTTCAACAAATTCTCTCACACCTGGTAGCTGGTGATCATTTTCCAAACCTACAGCTTCGCCCTTTCCACAGTGTCACACAAACAGAATCACGCTACTCTTCAGAGCCTTTTGGATCTCGCTTCCTCCATGTATAGAAGTGCATTTAAAATATATTCTTGGTATTAGGTGAACCAGTATTTTGCAGCATTTTATTGCCAGGTAGTATTCTATTTGTACAGGATAAGCCACAGATTTTATTTAACTATTGAAAGACGCCTGGATTATTTCCAGCTTTAGGTTATTATTAATAAAGCAGCTACAAACATACATGCATGGGCTTTTCTTTAACTACTGATTTTCAGTTTGATTCAGAAAATACCTAGATCTGGCACTCGGGGTCTTACAGCATCTTTATGAGAAACTGCTAACCTGTGTTCTAAGGGCACTGTACCATTTTTGATTTCCAATTATACTTGTTCCAAGTCCTCACCAGCACTTGATATTTTCAATTTTATTTTTTATTTTAGCCTCTCTAAAAATGTGTGATATTTCACTTTGGCTTCTGCTTCATTTTTGAAAGAGATTTCTGCTGAATATATAAAGTACGATCA